AAAAAAAAAAAAAATATATATATATATATATATATATATATATATATACATACACACGTTGTTTTTATAGAACAGCACACGGTTAAATTAATTGAAGAATCATAAACTACACACTACATGTTATATTACACTATTAACCTGATTTGATTGTGTTCAACATGATATAGCAAGACATCTATGAACATTCAACTTTACAATCAAAGATATTACAATAAAATACAGCAGTGGCATTATCTATAAAGAATTTGGTTTACTGTTGAACACACAGTGGGCTAAATTCATAAAGTAAGCTCTGTTAGGCCTATCTATTTATTTATTTTGTGTACAGTATTTGCACTAATGACTCGAAAATCACATACCATTCAAAACAACTGTTATTAATCATATTATATTATTATATAATCATATTTATAAGTAATTAATTGTACAATTTTTTTTCCCCAAAAGAAGCATATAATTCACTACCTGCTTGATGAGAGTATCGCGCTGATCTCTGAGGTAAAAAAAATAAAAAATCTTGAGGTAAAATCTGAAGACTTCTTGCGACAAATAACAAATCAATTACGTAATACTTAATAAAGCCGAGGTAGTTTAACAGTGTATGTTGTTTAAACAAAACAATTTTGTGAGGAAATCTCCGATCGTAAAACGCGTATCCTCTCCTTCACAGCGACTGATTGACAGATGACTATCCGCTGTTTGAATACCCCGCCACGGAAAAGGCGAAACAGCGCCATGAAATCTACGCGTGGCCAAAAATATATTGCATCCGTAGTGTTAAGCACTACCATAGAGAATGAATGGGAAAAGTTAAGGGAAGTTAAGCTCAACTATTTTCGGCTGCTGCGCAGAAGACCGAGGTTCGATTCCCTGACAGGGAGAGCTAGTGCTTTTCTGCTGCCGTTTTGGTGCAGCCAGAGGTTGCAGAAGGAGTTCTGCTTTGACTTCAGCCCAAACCAAAGAAAATGCGTTGGCCGGGAATCGAACCCGGGCCAACTGCTTGGAAGGCAGCTATGCTCACCACTATACCACCAACGCAGG